GCGAGAGCAATGAGGAAGTAATGGCTGTCCCTGTGTCAACCCTCTAAAGCAGAGGACTGTCTGCCCAGCAGGTGGGGACCCCTTGCCGACAGCTGCGAGGTCCCGTTATCAACCCCTGGTGTGCAGGCCGGCACCCCCACCCTTCTTCTGGCTCCATCTGCCCTTGTCCCTCTGCTCCAGGGCACAACGGTAATGACAACGGACGAGAAGGGGCTCAGGGTCTCTCTGTGAAGAGTGGAGACCGTGTAGACAGGCAAATACACCCCCATCCTTAAGAGGCTGCAGGTTCCCGGTAAGGCTGACTCTCACCACACTGCCCCGGGAGGCCTTGGGTAGGGCATGTATCTACGAAAAGCCAGCCAGGTGTACAGTGGGCCAATGAGGTGCACAGACGGCGCACCAGGTGCCCCCCCGGCTCTCCGGGGGCAGACATGCAGTCTCCGGAGTTCTCTGAGTGGGCACAACCCCAGTAATGGCACTTGGTGCCAGACTCGGTGAGAACGGCTACAGAGGGTTGGGTTCCTAGTCGCTTCTACCCAACAAACGAAGCTCAGAAAGTGCAAAACCGTGCATTGGAGACTACAACGGACATGAAGAGGAACAGGACTGGACTCTGGCCCCTGCCCTCAAGCACTTCACGACATAACAACTCTAGGACAAAGAGTTGGCAGGGCGACGATCCAGGCAATGGCTTTGGAGTTGGGGGAAAAGAGAATCTGGACGCTCTCAGTTCGGGTTCTGAGCAACACCGAGCTTTGCGACGCAAGGTTTGGGGAAAGAACAGAGCTACCGAACTAAGAATTCTACCACACGCGGACGCTTCTCTGGACTTTCCTGGACTGCGTCTCCACATCTGTAAAATGGGTGGCTGGCGGGTGGGGGGGGGGGTTTATTCACAGTCATCGGCATTAAAAACAAACCTACCCTTCAAGAACAACAGAGTACATCATTACAAGGTCCATAAACACATCGTCGTCAAGTCGATTCCAACTCGTAGTGTCCCAGTAGAACAGAGTAGTACTGCCCCATAGGGTTTCCAAGGCTGTAAATCTTTATGGAAGCAGACTGCCACAGCCTTCTCCCACCAAGCGGCTGGTGGATTTGAACCACTGACCTTCTGGTCAACAGCTGAGCACTTAACCACTGTGCCACCAGGGCTCCTATCATTACAAGGCAATTGTACCCAAATTCAAACTTTAAGTAGAGCCTTTTCTCTGGGTAGTGCAAACAGTTAACATGCTCAGCTGCTAACTGAAGGGATGGAGGTTCAAGTCCACCCAGCAACACCTAGAAAGAAAACCCTGGTGATCTACTTCCAAAAAATCAAGTCACTGAAAACCCTATGGAGCACAGTTCTACTCTGACACACATGGGGTAGCCGTGAGTCGGAGTCGCCTTGTTGGCAACTGGAATGACTTCAAAAATCAACAAGCATTGATCACTCCAACTGTCGGATTCACTTGGTCTGCCACCCACTTCAGAGCCCAGGCCCATTCCCTCCGGACAGGCAGGACTGCCTGGGCCTTTCGGAGAACAGGCTGACTCAGACAGCTGACACCACTCCCCAACTCCCCGTGCAACCACAGTCCTGTTTCCCGGCTCCCAGGTCATCCTCCCTCCATCTTCACAGCATCTGCTCATTTTCTTCCACTACCATCCTTGGAGAGAAACCACACCCCTCGCAGGCATGACCCCTCACCACCACCCCCAAATACTAATCCCATAGATAACAGGCTAGTCGGTACAGACATGGGCGTGGAGGCGATCAAACATGTAGGACCAGGGCAATGGAAACCAGAAAGACCTCCTTGGCATGAGAAAAAGATTTCAGTGATTAGAAGTTGAGAGCCCAAAGCAAAATGCAAAATCCCACTTGTTAGCTAAGCTGGAAGTCCTACAGGAAGTATCTGGAAGGTACCAAGAGACTCAAAGCCTCAAAAAGCCAGAAAGCACTGGGGGGAAAGTCCTGCCGTTTCACACACTCCATGAGGCATTTGCAGGTTTGTGACACCTCAGGCTAGAAAGGGAAGGCCGGGATTCCGCTGGATTCAAAGGGTTTTCCGTGCACCCTGAGTCTTTCTGGAACACTCAAAGCCAACTCACCTACTTGCGTAAAAGGGAATCATTCTCCCCAGTTCCCCAGCGGCCTGTGTCTCGGTCAGGAAAGGACAGAGCTCCTGTGCCTCTCCCAAATTCACATGCCAACAACTGGGGCATGGCTGGGGATGGAGAATCAGATGATGGGTGCACACATACTTGCCTTGGGGACCCACTTCACTTGCAAACACTTCTGCCAGAATCTCAACCGGCACTGTGCAACAGGACTTTCTCGATGCTGGGAATGTTGTCTGCCTGAGCTGTCCAACAAGGTGGCCAGTGGCCACATGCGGCTAACGGGCACTTAGAATGTGGCTGGTTGGACTGAGCTGTTTCATTCTGGCTAGTTTAAATTTAAATACGCTGTGTGTTAGTGGCTGCATACTGGGCTGCGTAATCGAGCTCCTGGGCCTGTTTGTTCAGCAGTCCACCAAGCAAGACCTTTATCTTCCCCCGTCAGGAGCCAAGAATGCCTTCTATTCTCACTCTTCCACTCACAGAAAAGACAACTGCCCAGACAACGCTTAACACGCTCAGCTGCTAACTGAAAGCTTGGCGGTTCGAGTCCACCCAGTGGTGCCTCAGAAGGCCTGGCTATCTGCTTCCGAAAAATCAGCCATTCAAAGCCTTATGGGGCACAACTCTGCTCCGATGCATGTGGGGTCACCATGAGCTGCAATCGACTCAACAGCAACTGCCCAGACATTCGAGTCCGCCTAGAGGCACCTTGAAAGAAAGGCCTGGCAATCTGCTTCTGAAAAATCAGCCACTGAAAATCTTATGGAGGACAGTTCTGCTCTGACGCACATGGGGTTTCTGGGAGTTGGAGTCGACTCAACAGCAACTTCCCTGACATCCAGGGCCCAGCACATCACAGGGGGAAGGAAATTACTTCTGCCTAAGACACCTTCCCTGGGACTGAGGGGTAGGCTGGGGGCGGGACGACATTCTATGCCTCATGGTAAAGAACAAGACATGGACTTCATTTCACGTAGATGCTGAAGACACACTTTGTTTTATTTCTTAACTCAGTACCGTTGGAGGCAACAAGCTCCCTTCAAGAGAACCAGACTCTCCACTCTGGAAATGCATCGTCCAGCTGCTATAAACTCCTCCCTGCCTCTCAAGAGAAGGCAGCCACACCAAAGACAAAGAAAACATGGTCAGTCTGCCACCTGCTCCCCAACAATTCTGTGCCTCAGGCGGCCAGAAGGGGCGGGGGCGGGGAAAGGTCCCTCGCCCTGAACCCCTGAAACCACACAGCCACACAGCACATTACCAGAACCACATCAGTGGCGCCAGGAGCCAAGGACACCCCAACCTGCCCCAGCTAACGGCGGAGAGCTCGTCTGCCACCCCCACAGCCCCACGTGGCCTTTCCTGACCTTGTACCCCTGAAGCCAGAGGAAGCAGGGGAGGAGGAAGAAATGACCCTACTGGGGGAATAATGGGGTTGGGGGTGCGGGAAGGGCCTTGGGTATTAAGAAGGAGACAGTGCAGATTTGGGCGAAAGGGGTACAAGGGTCAGATCAGCCTCAAGTTTACGGGAACCAACAGGATTGGCTCCAGGCCTCCAGATCAAAGGTGGAGGGGCTGTCGGGAGAGTTTAGGGAGGTGGGAGATACACCCCGGGTTTGGAGCAAGGCTCCTGGTAGGACGGAGGCTCCAAGATGCTGGAAAACGAAAGGAAAATATGGGGGGCGGGGGAGAAGAGAGGATGGTGGCTGGGGGTGTTGGAGGAAGTGGGATCCAGCCACGAAGGTAAGGAGGGAGGCGCAGGTGCCTTAGACAGGGGTCCTCGGGAGCCCGCAGGTCTGTGAAAGCAGCTGGCTGAGGTGGAGGAGCCAGACTTGGGAGAGAGGTCTGGACTAGGGGAAATGTGGGGACGTGTGAATTAGGGTCCTAGGGGCAAAGGGGGCGCAAGCTGAGGGGAGGAGCAGGGGTTGGTGTCTGAGTAGTTTAGAGGCTCCAGATGAGAGAAGAAACCGCCCCGATCCCGGAATGTGAGAAGAGGAGCTGAGAGTGAAAAAGACAGCCCCTCAGGCACTGGGGTCCGAGGGAGAAGGGCCTGAAACCAGAGGAGGGCTGAGGACCCTCAGGGCAGGCCTGGGTCTTAGTAGAAAGGGCGTAAGAAAGGCTGGGGTCTTAGTAGAAAGGGCGTAAGGAAGGCTGGGGTCCCAGGAGTCAGAGGGAGCTCGCAGATCAGAGGAGAGAAGGCTCAGGCCAGCGTCCTCAGCCATCCAGCCATCGGGGGCTAAGGCCCAGGCAGAGGATGAGGAGAAAGAAAGTGCGGGCTTGCCAGGGTTCGAGGAAGGAGGAGGCTGCAGACCAGGGCTCCAGGGGTCTAAGGGGACTCAAATCTGGGCAAAGGCTCAAAGCAGACGAGGCAGCAGGTTGGCGGCTCAAGGAGTTTGAGGGGACTCAGGGGCAGGGTCCAGAGAAGGAAGGGGACACCATCCGGCCCTGGATCCAAAGAGGTAGGGGTACTGGCCAGGTCTGAGGGATCCCAAGCAGAGTGAGAGGGCTCGGGGATGGACTGGGGTCCCCGGGAAGGCTCTGAGGGGACACAGGCTGGGCCAGGGTCCCCAAGAAAGGTCCAAGGGGGCTCTAGGCTAGGTTGGAGTCCCCAAGAAGGGTCTGACAGATGTGGGCCATCCTGGGTCCCAGAGAAAGGTCCGAGAGGATGATGGGCTGGGCCAGGGTCTCCAAGAAGGGTCTGAAGGGCGTCTGGGCCAGGATGGGGTTCCAAAGGGCTTCCGAGGGGAGTGTAGGCCACGCCGGGGTCCCTCAGTAGGATCTGAAGGGACATGGACCAGGCCGGGGTCCCTAAGAAGGGTCTGAGGGGGGTCTGGGCCAGGCTAGTGTCCCTGAGAATTTGAGACGACAGAGGCCATGCAAGATACCAGAGAAGGATCCGAAGGAATATGGGCCGGGCCCGAGTCTCCGAGATGGGTCTGACGGGGGATCTGGGCCGGGCTGCGGTCACTAAGAAGGATCTGAGGGGACGTGGGCAGGGCCGAGGTCCCCGAAAAGGATCTGCGGGGACAGAGACCAGGCCAGGGACCCCGAGAAGGGTCCGAAAGGGTTCTAGGCCGTGCCAAGGTCCCCGAGAAGGGTCTGAAGGGATATGGGCCGGGCCGGAGTCCCCGAGAAGGGCTGGAGGGGTGCGGGCTGGGCCGGGTCCCCGGCTGTCCGCGGGGCGCCGGCCGGGGTCGGGTGGGGGAGGGGCGCCCCCGCCCACATAAAGGCGGGGAG